GACTGCTTCCCTGGAATGGGGACAGTGCTGTCCTGGGCTCAGGAGGGTCCTTGTGCAGCCCCACTCCTACTATCCCTGGCCAGGCTGAACTCTCAATTAGACTGAAGGCTGGCTGACTCAGATCCTCGGCAATCAGGAGCACCAGGCCTCTCCAATTAAGCAGCCAGCCCCTCTTCCTTCCCACCACAGCCCTGGGATAATGAGGGCAGGCAGCCTGGGCGTGCAGGCCCAATTACAGAGGGGACGCAGTTCCAACTGAGGGTGGCACTACCTTCCACCCGTGTGCACCCTCATTAGCTCGTGGCTGCTAAACGCCACCAGAGCTCTTGCTGGGGATGCCTGTGTGTCCCCAGGAACACCTGGGGATCTGTCCTACCTCAGCAGACCTGGATCTGGATACTTCCATAAGAGAGATCTGCTCCCCATCCCTTTTCTATGGCCTGCCCACCCTCCCCCCACAACTGCAACCCACAGCAAAAGTTAAGGAAAGGGAAGCAGAAGTGGTTCCCCACAAACAGATAAGCCCCCAGGGGAGGACTCCTGATGACCTACACCCTGTCAGAGCTCTCCTATCCCCCAAGGTTACCTGTTTAGCCCCAGCCCCGACAGTAATTCATTAGGCAGGATCAATTAAGTCCTCTTTCCTGGAAGGCAAGGCTCCAGGTCTCCTTGTACCAGGTCCCCAGTGTCGGTGCAAACATTTGCTGGATGAGTGAACCATGATGCCATCCCTCTTCTCCCAGACACCAGGGAGCCTGTCAGTGCTAAAGCTTGGCAGGGTCCACGCCTGGGACTCCTTCCTCTCCAGTGACTCAGAGTGGTCACTCTTAAGTGGCCACTGCCTACGTGTCTATGACTTTGTGATCCTCTCCTGGGTCCCCAGGACTTTACAGACCTTCTGATTCTCCGCACAAACGCAGCTCGACCCCCAGATGGCCTTCTCACAAGCTCCATAAACCTTAGCTTCCCAGAGCTCTCAACTTTGCCCCCACATCTTTCAGTCCTGGATTTCAACCCCAGGAGGGCACTGGAGTATGTGCTATCCCTCCTCTGGGTGCCCTGTTCCTAAGTCAATCTGCCACTACATCCTGCAGCACAGCCTCCCTGCCCTCTGGTCTATTTCCAGCTGTGTCTCAGTGGTGGAAGGGCAACATCCTGCCCTCCCTGATGGCCTTCGGGGCCCAATTCCTCCTGGCAGCTCTCATGTGTGGAGACCCCAGTTTTAGCAGGGATATGTGGATATGGCTCTACAGAACACTGCCTTTGACCAGCAAGGAAGGTGTCCAGAGGCTTCTTCATAAATGTTGAAAATAGTGGACTCACTGTAACACGAATTCTAATAAGCAGAACATGGAATGCTACTGAATTTTGTCCCCTCAGAAGTCTGATGCTGAAGCCCCAGCCCCAGTGTGACCATATGTGAACAGAGAGTCCTCAGGAAGTCATTATACGGTGGAGGGAGGCCACAAGGTTGGGGCTGTAATCCAGCAGGATTGGTGTCTGTATGAAGAAGAAGAGAGAAAAAGAGCTTGCTCTCTGCTGTGTGAGCTACACAGAGGCGGCGGATGTCTGCCAACCCTGAAGGCTGCCCACAGCAGACCCTGAATCAGTGTGGGCTTCTCAGCCTCCAAATCCTAAACGAATCAAATGCCTGTTGTTTAAGACACCCAGTGAGTGGTCCCTCACATGCAGCTGGAGCTGACAAGCCCAGGTGGGTCGCCCATTCTCTCCTGAGGTTTGTGGGAGACCAGGTCCGTACTTTGTAGCGAAGTGTGCAATCTAAGCAGGAAGGACTTGGGGTGGACCGGACCAACAATGACAGTAACAGGAGTCCTGTACTAACTGCTCGCAATGTACTGGATACTGCTCAGAGAGCCCTGTGCTACCTCACCCACTCTTTACGCCTGCCTGATTATGACAGAAGCATTGTAGCCCTGTTTTACAGGTGAAGAAATGGAGGCCCAAAGAGCTAAAGTGGCTCACACGAGGCCACTCCATGCTGGCCAAGCTAGGACCTCTAGGCATCAGCATCTCTGGACGCTGCTGTTGGGGAAGAGGAAGCAGCCCTCCCAGGCCCCTGGAAGTGCAGCAGGAGACCATACAATCTAGTAAGGTGGCCCATGAGCTGCACAGGGTGGGGAGGGTACTGACTGGGCAGCCCAAGGGCACAGGTGCACCAAGTGGCCTCCAGCTGCCCTGGTCGCTTGCAATCTATGACTTCGTCCTTCCTAGGACCCCCCCAGAGTCAGCCACTCTAATTCTTCCCCACCTGCTTCAAATATGCCAGAGAGAGCAACACTGTTTCAGCATAAGACTTCTATAATCCTGTTCCAAGCCTGTCATCTCCCAGTGACAGCCATCACCACTGAACTTGTCTTCTGCTTTCCGTGTCCTCTTGTAATCCACTCGACATGCAGCAGCTAGGGCTCTTCCATAAGTACACGTCACATCACATCACATCCTGCTCACATACCCCACCAGCATCTCCCTTTACACTCACATTAAAACCCCCGATTCAAACCTTGACTTAGAAAAATTTTGTGGGATCAGCCACCCTCACCTCTGGCTCCCATTATCCCAGATGCCTCCTAAAACTAGTTCTTTGAACAAGCCCCACTGCTCTTGCCCCAGGGCCTTCCTACTTGCTGTTCCCTCTGCCTGAACACTTTTCCACTCAGATCTTTGCCAAGGTGACTGCTGCTTAGGTTCAGGACTGAGCTCTAAAGAGCCCTCCCTGAACATATAATCAAATGCTATCCGACACTCTGTCTTAATTCAATATACAGCACTTGGTCAGCTTGGCATTGTTTTATGTTTGTGCATTCATTATTTGTTGTTTTTCTTCTCCTATTACCGGAAAATAATCTTGATGAGAACAGGGATTTTTGAGTATGTCAGTCAAAGCATGGCCAGTACCTAGAATGGGGCCTGCACACGGAGGGCCCTCTCCTAGCTAAAAAAAGAATAAACATGAATGAATGACACGATCTTCTCAAGGACATATCAGAAACCCCATATCCTCAGAATGTCCTTCATCTGTTGGGGGCCCCATTTAGTAGCTCTCCTCACCACTCTGGCCTGGAATGAGTGCTGCAAAGCTCAAATGACTCCTACCTTCCCAGCCAAGCCAGGACCCCATCCTCAGCCTGCTGCAGAGTAGACACCCCTTTAGAGGGCCATGTCCTCCAGCAGCTGAGGGTCCTGGAGTACCCAGCGGGCATTGGGAAGGTGGTGTCTGGAAGAACAATTCCCCATAGCTCCACGCAGCTGAGGTCCTCTCCGCCCTCAGCCCTGTTGCCTAGGAAATGGCTCTCCTAGGAACAGCTGGATTAGCAATTCAGTAGCCAGGGTGGGCAGCAGTCTCTGTGCTAAAGGCCCTAGACAGTTCCAGAGCAGAAGCAAGGGCTTGGATCTTCTTCATGGTCCCACAAACCTGTAACAGTTAGAGCAGTTGAGGGACTGAAGGACAGGAGGAAATAGGCTGCCAGGGCCAGTTCTCCCACGTAAGAATAACCCAACTGCCCAAATCCTGGAAGTGAGACATTCCTGAGCCCTAAGCCCACAGCTACAGTGGCTTCTAACCTAGGATCTATAGAGGAGCCAGACACCCCAACACCCAGGCCCTTCCACTGTGCTTGGACCAATTAATCCACACTCCTTGGCTAGTCCACCACCCACACATGACAGATCTGGACCATACCCCCAAATCCTGGTTGTTCCACTTACTAACTGCAAATGTTAACCTCTTTCTCATCTGGATTCTGAATGCCACTAAAAATGCCCTCCTCAAGGTTGCCAAGGGCCTTGATGTTCCGAGTCCTCATTTACTTCTCTTTCCTATGCTATGGTCCACCAATGTTTATCACCCTGCCTTGCCCCTGGTCTTGTGTCTCCTAAGGTTTGTAGTTTCTTCACCCCATGTCACATAAAGAAGGAAGGCTTTTTTTCCATATTTGTTCATTATAACAACTCCAGGCTTAACATAGTGACTGACACATGGAAGCTACTTGAAAGTGCAATCCAGAAAAACCAGGGTGAAAATAAAAAGAGAGATACGATAGCTTGGAGAGACCTGTGTGCTCTAACTGAGGAGGGCGGCAGAGGGAAGTCCCATGATAATTTCTGTGCAGCAACTAGCCTCAGTTAGAGCAGGAATAAAAATCTAGAAAGGTTTCTTCTAGGAAAAATCAAGTGGGCTCCGTGGGATGGATGGTGAAATTGAGCCATTTGGGAGGTGTATTATGCTTTGGGCAATAAGACAAAAGCAAGTAGAAGCTCCAGGACACACTATAAATAATAATTTAAAAAGTCTTCAACTCAGTATTAAGTAATTGAATATATGGCACAATTTACTATAAGAAAAGAAAAGCACAAGGTCCTGAGATCATCCTGCTGCAAAGATCATTCTGACTCACTAGAGATCACGGGAACAGACCAGCAGAATAGGAAGTGGGATCCTAGCATACACCTGAGCCCTGTGGAGGACAGTGCTCATCTCACACCAGCTAATAGTATTTACTGAGGGCCTATGTGCCAGGCAAATGTCATCCTTGTCCACACTGTACAGATGGGGAAGATGCGGCCTGGCGTAGCAGACGAGTTTGTGAAGTCATATTGGCTAAGGTAAGAGGCAGCTTCTCACCCAGACTCTGCCCCAGAAGTCTACCCCTTAGGGCTGGCCCTAGGGGCCTGGCCATCTCCATCCTTCCTTCCTAATTTTTTTTTTTTCCTGGTACCACGGATTGAACTCAGGACCTTGTGCTTGTCAGGCAAGCACTTATTCCATGATTATCTCCCTGGTCCCCTCCATCTCCTTTAGACCGTGGTTCTGAGCATCCCCAGCACATGACACATGGCAGCGCACACATAGATGTGCACACGCATTCCTAGGACACACATTCAGACACATGCACACTCCTAGGAGACAGGATGCAGAGACACTGAGCGGCAGAGCCGGTCTAGGCTGAGTCACCAGATCGGCGGTGGGAGCAGGGTCTTACCTTCCTGCAGTCTCTGCAGAACACCGAGGAGCTGCCCAGGAAGCCCAGCACCTCCCCACACAGCAAGCACTGGGAGAGGCCGTTCCCCATCACATTTCGCCTCATGGTCTCCAGCCGCTCCACCAGCCGCCTGTAGCACATGACATAAGTCAGAGGACATGTGCCTCCTGTCCCCAACACAACCAATGCCTGGGCTATGCCACCTGTGCTGTTCCCTTAACCAGGTACTGACCCATGCCCTACCCTTTCCCTTGGCTGCTTTTTTTTTTTTTTTTTTTTTTGCGGAACCGGGCCAGGGAAGCACTTATTCCACTGAGCCATCTCCTTGGCCCCGCTAACTGCTAACCATTCAGTTGCTCGTCAACTGTTAGTCCTAGGGTATGCCAGGCACGGCATCACAGTGAACAAGTCAGGGACAGACACAGCTTTTATTTTCCCAGAACGTATGCTCAATGAGGAAGAAAATCCATAAATAAGTAAACAAGCAAGCTGGCTTCTGATAGGGAGCTACATGTGAAATGCAGACGGTGGGGGAGGGGGAGAGAAGCCAGGGGCAAGAGGCACTTTAGCTGACCAGGGAATGTGTGGGTCCTCTGAGAACAAGACGACAGCGGGGGGGTGCTCTCCACTTGGTGCCAGAGCCACCGTTCTGCAAGGCAGTGGCACTTGCCTGCTTGGCCGCTGGGGGGGGGGGGGGGGGGGGGATGGCAAGAACCCAACCCTGTGACACGAAAGTTGGGGAACCTCCAGGTGGAGGTAAGAGCAGGTACCAAGGCTCAGGCCGAGAAGCAGCCACCGAGAAGCAACCACTGGCAAGGAGGAGGCCACTGATGCTACTGCCCAGGCAGTCGAGGAAGGCAGGAATTTAAATTTTAAAGAAGCCCAGTGAGACAGGAGGCACAAGCACACTGCATAGGTTTCACAGGTCACAAAATAGAGCCTGGCTTTTCTTTCTTTCTCTCTAAGCTCCATCTGAAGCCGCTGAAGAGTTCTAAGGAGGGAGTGATTTGGTCTGAGTGACATCTTTAAAAGCTCACTCCAGCTTCAGTGGAAATTGGGAAATGCGGGGGGGGGGGGGGAGGGAAGGAAGCCAGTGGGCAGCTGTGGCCAGCTGGGAAGCAGGAGGAGATTGGGTGGGGGCAGGAGAGAGGTCCAGGATGATGAAAGGCTTTGGGTCTGAGCACCTGGGCAGGAGAGAAAAACAGCTCCTGCCTGAAACCCTTAGAGGCCGTGCATCCAGGGACCTGCTCAGCCTGGGCAAGTTCCTCTCCTCCGGTCCTGCAGCCCTCATCACACTGCCACCTCTGCCACAGAACATTGTCCACAGAAGTGTTGTGCTATATTGGCCACCATATTTCCAGGATCCAGCAGATACTATGCGACAACTCTTGGATGTACAGGTCATGTTATCTCTTCCAACTGCCACATCCCCCAGGGAGAATACTATGTTTCCTATTTTAAAGATGAGAATACTGAGGCTCTGAAACATGGAAGTCACTTGCTGGGGTCTCAAAGCTCCCAAACAGATGAAGCCAGAATCCAGCCCGAGGCTTGACTAGCCCAGCACGGCCCCCTACATGACCCCCCTCTCCCCAGCTGATGCTGCACTCTGCCAGGCCACAGGATAGTAAGCGTACCAGCAGATGAGGCTGGTTCTACCCACATGCCCCCCAGCGAGCCCTCTGGTTTCCACAGGGGCACAGCCCTAGCCATGGCAGGACCCATATGTACTTGGGGACCCTCAATCTACTTCATGTCTCTAAGTCTTGTATGAATTCAGTATGCACCTCCCTGCTCTGCACAGTTAACCTGCTTCACCACCTCCTGGCTAACTCTGTTCCCCAGCAGAACCCAGCTCTCACAGTGGGGCCAGAAACCAGGCTCCCCAGGGGAACTCTGGGAAGGCAGACAGGACCTCAAGGGCTAAGAGGATCCCTAAGTCCTTCCAGACCACAGAGGAGCCCCCCATGAAGTGCTCCCCACCCATCTACTCCCTGTTCACCCTCCCAGGACAGCTGGGGGCTCGGGGGTCACTCAGTCACCCACATTTGAGGTCATGTGAGAGCCTGGCAGCATTTCATGGCTGAGGCGGTGGGGCTCAAACACGGTAGACAGCATAAAAGAAAACACCAGCAAGCCCAATATCAGGCCTTCCTGAACTAAAATGGAAATTATTCATCTATATTATTAAGGCACACACAGAGACTGTCAGAACAGCAGTTGTGGTACCTTTACCTTCCAAAACTGTGGGTTTCTACAATGTCTGAGCTTAAAAATGATCATATAATCAATAGAAAAAGAACAAAGAGACCAGAATGAAACAAATTTCTGCCCAAGGCAATGCAGTAAGATTGTTTTCCTATTTGTGCCTTTCTGAATTTCTCAGTTGTTCTAGGAAATAGGAATTACTTTTGTAATGAAACAAAGACACAGCAAAAATGTTGGACAACTGAGTTGTGGCCAACTCTGGATGTCAGAGGCCGGAAGGGAACTTCAAACACTCTGGGGGACATCTTTTGCTGGGGCCTTGGGGGACTGACTGCTCTCAGGTCAGAAGCCATGTGAATCTGTCCTTTGCCTGAAGAACATCTGGCAGGCAGCTGTGTAGAGCCCAATAGCTCCTAAAGAGGCTTATCAGGCTCAGTCCTGCCCTAGAGCCTGGGACCCACCCATCCAACCCTATCCCTAGCTTACAAGGGTATGGGGGGCTCCAAGGGTCTGTGCACTTGCTGGTGTGCCAAGATGTTGCCAGAGCACCTGGGCTCTCAGGACTCACATACAGAGCTGACACAGAGCACCAGGACTCAGTGCACCAGCCCTCCCACCACCAGCCCTGCCAGCCTTACCCGATTCTCTGCTGCTCCAGGGCGTCCAGCTGCTCGGCTCTCTGGATGACCTGCAGGATGGCCCCCAACTCAGCCGTGCTCAGGCGCTGGCTCCTCCTCTGCTTCTCCGTCTGGTAGGTGTGCACAGACCAGCCTGTCTGTAGCCTTGGGAGACAGCGACATGGTGGTGTTGGGGAGGCAGCCCCAGGGTGAACCTGGTACCACCACAGTACCCATAAAGTTCTGGGGGATTGTGTGGGGACAGCCCAGGAGCCACAGGTTCACAGCTCATGGTGCACACTCTTAGCAGGCCTAGGCATGTGCCCACCACTGGCTTCAGCACCACTGAGCATCTACACGAGACTCATCATCTCCCTTCAGAATGGAAGTCTCTAGAGGGCCAGGCCCTGCATCACCCAGCCCCCACCAACCCTCTCGTCTTTCCTTCACACCATTCACCCCCTATTTTCTGCACTCAAGCCACATTGGCCGCCTGGCAGGGTCTCTACATGCCATGTTCTTTCTGCTTCAGGGCCTTTGCACATGCTGTAGAACTCCCTCCTGCTTCCAGCTCACATTTACTCCTCTTCTAAGTCGCAACATAAGCACCACAGTTGCAGAATGTCTGCTGATCCCCACAGTGTTAGCACCCCCACATGTCCCCACACCAATTACCACTGTTGAAGCTGCTACACATGGGGAAGCATTTGTATAATGCTTACCTTTTCCCATCTCTGCTTACAAACAATGGACTGGTTTTGTCCACTGTTGAACCACCAGTACCTGGCACATAGAAGGGGCTTAGAAAAGCTTAGGTGGTAGCAGAGGATCCTGCACTGGAGCAGAGAAGGGGAGCTCCCCAGGCTTCCTGGAGGGTCCTGCGGGCACAGGCCCCAGCTCTGCAGCCCTAGTGTTTGTACCACCACCCTCCAGAGACTGGCAGGCCTTCCAGACAGTGCACCCCAAGGAAGAGACAATGTGTTTGCTCTTCTAGAAGGTGCTATGACAGCTTTTGGTTGCCACCAAGTGAGAGCAGAGGTCAGGGAGAAAGAAGGGACACTGGAGGGGACAGCAGGGCCACACAGGCCCTTATATAGAGTGCATTCAGCTGAGCTCTCCCCAGCAACATGTCCTCTGCTTAGAGGACACATCAGCCACTTGGCATCAGAAGCGAGGGAGGAGCTGACCTCAGCCCTGGTCACTCTCCCTGCAGGGGTCAGGTGGGAGAAGCGGAAGGGAGCTGAGCCATCGGGCAAAGGGGACAAATTAATAGTGAGGCAAAGATTCCTGCAAATCATGCATGACGCCACTCATCTTGGGTGTTTCAGAATAATTTTCCTGTCCCCCTTTGATGTTCCGGTGCTGTCCCCCTGCAGGCTCATAACATCTAATTGCAAATTTCTTAAACTTGGTCCCAGTTGGGAAATGCTGGCTTCCTTAATTGGCACAGTGTGACAGATGCTGGGGTGCTCTTGAATGATTAGACACCAGGGACTCCACCCCTCAAAAGGCTGGGGAGGGAGTAGAAGGCAGGAGAGAGCACCCCCCACCCTCCCAACAGAGGGGACAGGGCAGTGCAGGGACAGAGTCAGGTCTAACTGGTGCTGAGGGATCACTAGGCTGAGGGTTAACAGGAAAATTGGGACAGACCTTAGGAAAGCTAGGCAAGGAGAGGGACATTGTCAAGAGCATGAGACCTGAGCAAACAGGCTGGCTGTGACCTCAGGCCGAGGGACCCTTCCTGGAGCAAGCCTGCGCTCTCTGATCACGCTAGGCACTGAACTCTGCAGTGGACAGCCAGAGTCAAAGGCACCCTGCCACCAGGGATTTCTCTTAAGGCTCAGTGACCAGAAAAAGGGGAGATGAGGTGGCCTGGTTCCTGGGGCCCACTGTGACAGAGCACACCATGGGAGGTGGGTGGTCCAGATGCGTGTCCCAATCCTGTCACTCACAAGTTAAGTGATAGGGCAAAGAGCTTAACCCACTTTCCTCATCTGAGCATAGGGAGGACCACCACATGGGTGAGTCGGGCCCCTAGCTCAAGGTCCAGAGTGTGGCATGCATTCAACAGGCACTTTGCTCCAAACTCCTCTTCTATTCCTGAGAAGGAATCTTGCCTGGGACCTTGGAGGTACTCACTTGGCTCGCAAGGCAAGCTGCCGATCATTGGGGCAGACCCACTGGTCATTCCCACTGCTGAAGATGGTATCTGCCATGGCTCAGAGCATCCAGTCCAGTCACATCTGAGTAGAGAGGAGGGGGGAAAAAAAGGGAATGTCATCAACAGGTGCAGATGCCAGACTGGGTCCCTCTGTGCTCAGACACCGGACTCTTGGCCCTTCCAACATACCCCTGTGCCCTTGCCAGGACTCTCGTTCTTCCAGCTGAGCTATATAGTCTGGCCCCATTAAATCTCTTGTGATACGCTACTCTGTAAAAGTCCACAGAGGATATCTGGATTCTCACAGATGCATAAGACGTTGGAAGAGCGAAGAATACTGTAATAGTTTTCCCAGATAACTGTGGATGTTTTTCTTTGATACTGCACCCAAACTCAATCGACGGCAGTCTCTTAAAGATTAGCTCCAATGTGGCGTCTGAAACCAGACCCATGAGCTTTTTGTTTTCTGTACACTTGTAAAAGAATATATCTAGGTGTTTTGTAACAATGAGAAAACTAGTTTTTACTTCAGTGGATCCCAGAAAGGTACGGGGAAGCCCCCAGAGACCCTGGCCGATGCTCAGAGAATTGCTCTTCCAGACCAGTGTCACCCTTGCCATGATGACCAGCAGGGGGCAGCACACAGACTGACCCAGGACTGTCCAAAGCAATGAACCATCATCATAAGCACACCGACGTCTATCCCATGGGCACATCAGGCACCTGTTCTTCCAGTCTGGACCTGACATTGCCGGGCAAATGCTGTGCTGCTGAGCTATATACCCCGGCCCTACTCAATCTTTTGTGATACGCTGCTTTGTAAAAGTCCTCAGAAAACATCTAGACTCTCACAGATGTATAAGACGGTAGGCCACCTCAGGAAAGAGACCTGTGCAACTTTGAAACCCAAAGCCCTGAGTGTGGAGATTCCCTGGTCACCAATGGCTTCCTCCCAAAGGGGTCAGCAAACAGAGAGTGCCTTTCAACTGACATTCATCCAGCTATAAACCTGTGCCCCTCCTCCAGACTTTGGAGGGCTTTTTTTACATTCTTGTTATCTTGTGAAGGTCAGTCACACTGCTGTGTGAGTGTGAAATGCGTTACTCTGTTCAAAGTAAACATTTAAAATATGCATTGGTTCTGGTCGCTTTTTTTTTTTTTTTCACCCAATAGATCCCATTTGAGTGGAGATGGCCCCTTGATCCTGGGTAAACCAGATGCCCACAAGTTCATGGGCAGTGTAGCTCCTGCCCCAAACTGCAGGTGGTGCCATTGCTCAGGCCTCTGTGCCAAGGACAACCAGCCTTGAGCCTTCCTGCCCACTCCCTTGTGGGTGGATAGAGTTTGGGTGGAGGTAACCCCCCTGCTCTGCCAGGCACCCCACAGAAGGTCACCAAAGGGGTGACCCTGGAGCACAAGACTACTGCTCCCCAACTGGAAGATTCCGCTTCTGCAAATGCTTCAGGGCCAGAAGACCATGCTGTGGGGAGGGGTAGGAAGACAAGAGGACCTAGCCCTGCTACTGACATCTTTACCTCATTGATGGAAGGGATGGGTGGGGTGCCCAGGAGGAGGCAGCCTGGAATCAGTTACAAAATGCTCCTTGTAGCCCCAAAACAGTCACACACACACACACACACGCGCGCGCGTGCGCGCGCACACACACCCTCTCTAGGTAATGAATCTTTGTCCTCTTCAGGTTACTTCCTAGTGGAGGCACAGTTCTGGGGTCAGTGGTAAGGGAACCCTCAAACTGACATGAACCTGTCCTCTAATCTACTGGGGGACAGAGGTCTGTTCCTTTAAAACATTTTTTAACTTTAACCAAAATATGTTGTCACCCTGTGTCCCCCAACAGGCTATTCTGTTCTTCCTAAACCTAATCATTATTCTCTCACTGGGCAAATAAGAAGAGACAGGGGTTAAGAGGCTGAGAAAAAGCCACACAGCTACCACGCTGGTCTGCCAGCCCTCAAACAGTGCCGCCTCTTCTGCCCATGTCACCTTCTGCAGTAAGCACAGAGGGGGCGCTGTGGCTGTGAGGAAAGTGCATGTCTGGCTTTGTGCAAACTCACTTGGAGTCCAGGGTTGAGTCAGTGTTCCTTCTGGGGCCTCTCTTTTCCCTGTGGTGCCCACTCCTTGTGGGAGGGAGGGAACTGACACAGACAGGTTGGAGACTATCCTCTGTCATTCCAGCCCCTAGTACTGACCCGCTGAGCTGCATACGGGAGGCAAGAAGGGAGGGCAGGGCATTGGAAAATGGTTCTGGGCTGGCGGCCAGGGGCTGCCCTAGCCTGGGAGGTGGGGACAGAGTCCTTGGCCAAACCTAGGCTACAAGAGGTGAAGGAGGAAGGTGCAGGTACTGTGTCTCCCACATCCCCCGCTGCTCTTACTGCTGGAGACTTGGGGGAGAGAAGCCCACAGAGTCAAATGCTATAGAGAGATCAAGGGAGATGCTGTCACCTCCCTGGTCCAGGCCCATGGCACAACTGGCCAGCGCATCTCAGATGGCACAGACTGGCTGAGCACAGTAGGGCTGGCCCTGAGTGAATTCAGATATGAGAATGCAGGGGAAGCAGGTATGGACTCTAGGACTGCTGTGCCACCCCTGGACTGTGCCTGGCACCTTGGAGGGTACAGCTGTCCTCCTTACACAGAGCAACCTTGGGACAGATGGAGAAGAGGACGGGCAATTCAAAGAGGCTCATTTTAGGAAACTGCCAGTGGAGCCAGCTTAGATCCTCCAAACCTCTCTGGTCTGAGCTGGCTGCCAGCGCCCTGACTCTGCAGCATATGAGGGCCTCACCAGCCAACTGGTCCCTGGCTCCAGTCATATCTTAACCTGGGGTCCTCTGCCAAGCTGTGTGCTCATTAAATGCAGCCCACCTCCTGGCCTCTGCTCTTCCTTGCGGAGCATCTTGAGCAGAGGGGCAGGGAGTATAGCCCATACCCTCAAAAGATTTGCACCCTTAACACTACGTGCATTACTAGGTGCATTAAATATCTACAATGCTATGTATAATACTATGTGCATTAAGTATATGCTATGCCCTTGTATTAAGGGGGGCATTTAACTTATGAAAAAACAAAAGAGGAACTTATAGAATAAAGGTGGGTTAAAAATCAGGGAGGTGGGCTGGGGAGATGGCTCAGTGGAATAAGTGCTTCCCTGGCAAGCACAAGGGTCTGAGTTCAATCCCCGGTTCCGCCAAAAAAAAAAAAAAAAAAGTGATTGGCCTGAAGG